TCCTCTTAACTCGATCAATCCCACCCAACATTTTTAACAAGTTACATTCCAGTGAATGCTTTTTTTCCGATAGCAGAACTCCCAGCTGGGATGACCTTCAAAACGTTGAACCTCACCGTCTTTGACAATGGTCTGAAACAACATTTAAGCCGTAAGTATCAAAGTTCAGACAGTAATTATTAGAATATGGAATTTCCATCTGGTAGATGAAGCTATCACAGAGATGCAGATGAAACCAAGATAAGACATGAATGTATTGTTCTCACCTGCATTGCCCGATGATCACGTGATCTCCTTCTTTGACACGGAAACACGGAGAGACATGAGCAGGGATGTTTGAATGCCTTTTCTCATACCTGATGATATGTCAGTATCAAAAAGACTAAACTTTAGATGGAGAGTCTCAAACATAAGGAATGCAAAAAGTTTGGTATATACGTTCTTTTTGCACCTTTGATACTTCTTAACAAAATGAAGATAGTTCCTCCGCACAATGATAGTCCTCTGCATTTTCGCACTGTGACAAGTGCCGGCTAGGATACGGCCTCTAATAGAAACCGTGCCAGTAAAGGGACATTTCTTGTCTATGTATGCACCTGCAAAATTCACAAACATGAAATAATTCAGACATCACAGAAATGTCATCAATTAGACAAAGCCAGCATCAATCGTTCCAATTTCAGAAACAGTTAWAAACAAAAAAAAAAGATGGCTTTTATTAATCCAAATTTGGGGAATACTAAACAACAATCCTCTTTTAGGGTTCTTATATAATATTCCTAAGGATTCCAGCACATCATAAGTCGAGATTGAAGACAATGTTAATAGCGAAAATCAAAGTAAAGCAAATGTATACATACATACATACCTTCAGTAGCTTCTCTAGGAGTCTTGAAACCAAGACCAATGTTCTTCCAGAAACGATTACCTCCCTTTCCAGGTCTCTTGCCTTTACCAGATTTCTTCGAGCATAAGAAGACCTTTGGTTGCTTCAGAAACGCCTTTTCCGTCTGCAACACATGATTTCGACATTAAATCGAAGCTCAGAGGAGGAGGAGGAGAAAAAAAAAAAGAAATTATATATCGAGATCGAAGAAACCTGCTCCGCCATTGCTGTGGTCGCTGCTAGAGTATGGAGGAGAGAGAGAACCACTAAACCTAATAATCTGTTTGTGGATGGGAAGGAGAAGAAACCCTAAGCGCGCAATTGTAAGCTCAGAGAGATCTAACTATAATAAATGGGCTCGGCCCATTCTTTTATTTGAGCCCAACAAAGATTAAAATAAAAAACTTTTTATGGACCCTAATGTGAAAAACTGGTGATTTTTTGTTTTGTTTTTTTCGGCTATATCTAATCTATTACATCCGTGGGCTACAACGGGTTGGTCCACTTTAGCCCATTTAACCTCACAGAGGTTTTTACCCAGAGTTGGTGACAAGATAGCAGAGGTGTCTTTCACATGCTTCTCCTAAAAAAATTGGTGATTTAAGTTTTTTTAGAAAACTAGGTGGAACAGTATAACCAACTGATTTTCTCTGGATAAGTGTAGTAGTTTATTTGCCAGATTTTATTCTATTTTGGAGAAAAACTGAGGTAAATGGGTGCAGAGATGATAGGTTTATAAATCTCGTTAATCTCAAACATAAACATAATACTC